GGGTTTTACTAACTAGTACACTTTTCTTCTCTGCCTCACGCCCCTCCCCGTCCAGTCCTCTCTTCTTGGAAACTGCCTGAGCCCAGTGTCCTTGTAGTCAACATTGTTCTCATAACAATCCTCACTGAAACCAAAACACGGTGCTTTCTAGCTACTAAGAAGAAGATTAACCCTATTGTAGCAAAAAACAGGACATCCTGTGATACTGCCTTGCTGCAGGCCTCTTTTTCTGCAGGGCAGTTACTTTCATGTGTATCACAAAAGTCTCAGTTTCTCACTTCATGAAGATTCTGACATTAGTTGCATAACTAATGACACATGAATTTTCTCTTCTCCGGCTATATGGGGCATTCTCAGAATCTTAAGGGTTTTAAGACATACTGTGAGCCTCCTGGATTCTTTGAGTGGTGGATAAATCTGTAGGGGTATCATGTAATTTAAGTGCAGTGCTTGGAATTCAAAGTGGTGTGGTGGGTTGGCCCTGGCTGGCTGGATGCCAGATGCCCACCAAAGCCCACTCTATCACTCCCCTACTCAACTGGGCAGGGGGAGAAAAATATAACAAAAGTCTCGTGGGTGGAGATAAGGACAGAGAGAGATCACTCACCAATTACTGGCACGGGCAAAAGAGACTCAACTTGAGGGAAAAAAATTGGATTTTAATTTATTACCATTCAGACAAAAGGATAATAAGAAATAAAACCAAATCTTAAAACACCTCCCCACACCCCTCCCGGGCTGAACTTCTCTCCTTATTTCCACCTCCTCCCCCCAGCAGCACAGGGGGACAGGGAATGGGGGTTGGGGTCAGTTCATCACATGTTGTTGCTGTTGCTCCTTCCTCCTCAGGGAGAGGACTCCTTCCCCTGCACCAGCGTGGGGTCCCTCTCATGGGAGACAGTCCTCCACGAACTCCTCCAACGAGTGAGTCCTTCCCATGACTGACAGTTCTTCACGAACTGCTCCAGCCTGGGTCCTTTCCATGGGGTGCAGTCCTTCAGGAACAGACTGCTCCAGCGTGGGTCAGTGTCCTCTTTGAGGAGGTGATGCAGTTTGTGATTTCCTAAGCGTAGATCTTCCCAGTGTTAGAGAGTCTTTTCATTTGAACAGGATTTCTTACTGAATTTGAAAAAAAGCAGTAAGATTCCTCATCAGTCCAGTGGTTATATCAAGGTCCATCTAGCAATTAAATTTCAGTAGCAAATGAAGCATTTCTTCATCTCATTCCACTATACTGCAGCAGAAATTGTGAGTTATTATTATTTAGAGTTTTCTCCTCATCAAAACTTAATTTTATTCTTAAATGTTTGATGGGCCATCCCAGTGAGTCATTTGTTCATCTTCACATCCACTGAAGATGTCCTTCCTGATGACAGTCATCTGAATTCTGCCCAAATCAGGAGGTTAATCTTTTTTACTTTTCTCTTAAGTCTGTGTACTTCCGCTGTTGAGACTTGCCCAAGCAAGTGTGGGGCATGCCATCTGTTGCCTGACATGGCCTTTCAGAAAGACCTTATCTTCTGTTTGTGGTGTCAGAGGGAGGTGCAAAAGGCTGGTGAGTCTGTCAGAGCACTCTTCTGTAGGGAAGCTGGCTGAATGGGCCCTCTTCTAGTTGCACCCAGGAAGCACCAGCAGCCTCTGCATGGAAGATGTCCATCTGTGAGATGCTGGAGCATCATTCCTATATCACTCAAACAAGCAAAGGCTTCCAAAAGCATAGTCCTACAACCTGTATTTTGCCTTTTTGTCATTTTTCCAGGTAAATAATGTCATGTGGAGATTGCTGTTGGAAAGAAAAACAGTGAAAGGCTGGCACTGTTTTTTCTGCTAAGAACTAGTGTGTATGATTTCCATTACATTAAATATTAGTGTTCATAATATGCAAGAGAGGCTGAAATCCAATTGTAATGGATATGTTTAACAGTGAGATGTCTCATGTTTTCCCCACAGTTAATCAGTATAAAAAAGATTTGAATACAAGTAGCAGATGTATTTGTGAAGGAAGTTTTGCTTCCTTGCTTCTAACGAGAAGTGTTTCTCTGTATATGTTGCAGATTGATGGTACATTTAAGGTGGATATTCCTCCAGTCCTCCTTGGCTACAGCAAAGAAAAGAACTTGGGAATCGAGAGAGGTTATGACTCTTTGCGAAATCTGAGTGAGGGCTCGTATATAACACTGTTTATTACCATTGAACCACAGCTCATTCCTGGAGAGTCAGTCAGAGAAAAGGTACTTAATCAGTAATTCATCATATTCCTCCTTTTTGTTTCCAGTAGTGCAGTTCTTGAGATGCATATAAATAGGTGTGCTTAGTGTACCGAAGGACACGAATACAAGTACAGAAGGACATCAATACAAATTCTGAGTGTTCTACTTCAGTTTTTTTTAGCTCAGTTCAATTTAATTGGATGCACCATTAAGTTAGATGGACACTTAATGCATGAGAAATAACTTTCACCAGCTATCTAGTCCCAGTGATGAGAGAAAGCAAATTTGCATTCTTTATCTGTGAGCATATAATTTTCTCATTTACTTCTGTAAACAAAAAAGTATTCATGTGATTATTTGTGAACGGTGGACAAAAAGGAGGTAGCAGGTGCGAACATAGTGTTTTCTTGCTTCTGTGTTTATACTGTTCAAATTCAGCATTTATCATTTATGGCTTCATGCATGCCTCCAGATCTTGAAGAGAGTTATTTCTAAACAGCAGCTGTTATTTTCTTCAGTGATTTTACTAAAGCAGAAGTGCCTTACAGTAACATCAACAATATCTAGTTAAAATGCGTACACTGCTTGCTATATTATGTAATATTATGCAATGATTTTGAGATCCATTCAGCAAGGATGTATATTTTTCATGCACAAACAGCAACAGTTCCTTCTTTTCTAATTCAGTGCTACACTGGTCGTTTATTAGAGACAAACTGAAACTGGAGAGAAAGGTCTATCATTATGTAATTTCTTTTTCAGAATGAATATAAAATTGTGTGATGCATTCTAAAAACGCTTTTTCCTTTTAAATTAGAGTCTTGGAAACTATAGTCTTATGTTTTCTTGCTTTCATGCAATACTGTGGGAATTCTTACAATTTAGTACTGTTGAAAATAAAGAAAATTAATAAAGTGCATTCATGGATGCCTTTTAAGGTCAATTAGTTTGAATGATAAGATTATTACTAGGACTTTAAACCATAAATATAACCTCAACAGCCTTGAAGCGCCTTTAATAGATGAGACCTTTCATAGTCTTAATCTTCATGTACAGTAATTAGTTGCTCGGAAAAGGACGTACTGAATTTGTAAGAAAAAGCTCTCTCTTTGTAGAAAGACCTGTCTCCATTGCTATTTCAAAAGAAAAATCATATAAATTCAAATAAGGGATGAAGTTATTGTAAAATATTATGAACTGTATGTTGAGAATCTTGACCTCTTTAAATAGTGAGGAAATGTTTCACAGTTTCTTGTATAGATGCAATTTGATGCTTAGTTACCAAAAGGTTATGTATTGTGTTAATGCTTAGTAAAATGGTGCAGCTTCATAGCTATATTTAGAATTTATTTAAACACTTCAGAGGGAAAAACCAGCATATTTTATTAAGTGAAAGATCTTTCTGACCTAAGTTCTCTTTCATTTAAAATATGAGGGTAGGAGCTAACTGCCCTTACCAAAACTCAGACATAAAGAACTAGAAAGAGACTGAAGTACCTTCTATCCTGAAGATGCTGCAAAAAATCATAGCACACTAAATTCACAACTCATGACATGAGTCTTATTCTAAGTAGCAAGAAATATTACACGTCAAAGCTTCTTCTCGCCAGGAGCCACACTGACAAGGGGCAGTGGGTACAAGTTGCACCAGCAGAGGTTTTATTTTGATATAAGACAGAAATTTTTTTACAGTGAGAACCAGTATTCACTGGAACAATCTCCCCAGGGACATGGTGGAGTCCCCATTACTTGGAGGTTTTCAAGATGCGATTGGACAGGGTGGTTGATAATCTCACCCAGGCTCCCTTTCCCCCAAAAGGCTGGACCGGGTGGTCTTTCTAGGTCCCTTCCAACCTGGGCTGTTCCATGATTCCATGAAAGCTAAACTGTACCAAAAATTGTGCATTGTCATTGAAGTGCATTGAAAGTAAAACCAGGAATAAGGAAAATGTTGCTGAGTAAGAAAACTATTGGTACAGAAGATCTGTTTTCTAAAAGCTGAAGAGCAGTGGAAAAAACAGTTGTGATGAATAAATCAGTAGGAGTTTTGCCAGATTTTTGTTCACTTTTTGCATTAGAGATTTTTCTAAATCTTATAAAAATTTTACTTGGCAGCAGATGATTTGTTTACCTTGGATACTAAGACAAACCAAATTATTTCTTTAGCAAACATTGTACAGGATTTTCAAATAATCAATTTTTTTCAAAGCAATATAAATAGAAAACAATAAAATATAATTTGATGTTAGAGGAAGCTTAAGAAAAGCAGGACCAAATTCATTAAGAGACTGTTCTATTTTGGGTGGTATGTATCTAATGAAATCTGTACATAAAAACACTACCAAAGTGACATGTGTGTGTGTTCTTACTGTGACTGAAAAAGTACTTACTCTGTGCTGCAACTCCCCAAAACGTAACACATACACTTACTATAGGAAGTGTTTGCCATGAAGTGACAAAAACTAACTAAATATTTTTGCTGTCCTTTGTTCCTATTCTTAGACCTTCCTTCTGTAGTTGAATGATTTGAAATACTTGGCTACTGGTTTAGGATGCTAAGCTTAATTTTATGATACCTTTTGTTTGTTTCTTTACCTATTTTTCCTCTCTTTCTTGCTGTCCTTCCTGAATCTCTATGTAGATGAATGAAATGCTTAAGAAGGTACAATATTAATAAATTGAATTAGTTTAGATTCCTGTTGTTCCCTGTTTAAGATTTAGCCTGGTTCTGTGCCATTCAGCAATCTTTTTGCACTTTGTCTTACTTGACTCTGACATAGTATTTTTTTATTTGTCAGTAATATTTGCAGTGAATTACTACATTTAAATATACAAAGTGCTGGAGGCTGTGTATTTCGGCTGTTAATTATGGTTGAAAAGAATCACCATTGTGTGCCTTCTCTGCTGACTTGGAGGTCTGGCTACAGGGCAGTGCCCAGCTGTTCCACCTCTCGTTAGTTTGAGAAGGGTAAAAAAGGACAAAGTGATTTATTTTGAACCAAAATATTACAAAGGATGAGCTTTAATTCTCAGCACCACTAGAAATATTCAAGGGTTCTAAGTAGATTGTAAAAAACTATTTTAAGTGATCCCAAGACCTTTAAAAGATGACACGTTATATGAGCAAATAATTGTCATTGTTATAGAATGAATATGTGCTTTTGAGTCCTAAATTTGCTTCTGGAAAGTCTCATCTAAAAGTGTTAAAACTTTACGTAGGTCTGAATTATAAGGGTTCATCCAAAACTTATTTGGACCTTCTCTGCAAATATTTTGGTATTGCACAGTATTATTTATATAACAATTAGTGGGATTTTGTGCATAACCTCAATTGTGGTTTTATGGATTGTGATGTGAATAGCATGTAGGATTAGTACCTAACCATAATTGTTTACCTTTGAATGAATACGTGGTGTTATATACTCATCCCTGCAGTTTTACTTGGCCATAACTTTCACTATGTTTTTCAGTGCTTGAATAAAGCCAGCTTATAGGTACAGGTCATTATGTGCATTCATAAGTAAAAGCAAATTGCCTGTTTTTCCATTACCTTAACCTTTCTTATATGTCTGTGAGCCAAAGTATATACTACAAGGAAAGTTGAAAATGCTGTTAGGAGAGAATTTTACACTCCTTTTATGCTCTTGCAAATGGTGAAATAAGGCCAAATAGAGCAAAGACTTGGCACAAACTATAAATAAAACTTTTTTTTTTAATAAATTCTATTGTCTTTTGAAGTTTGATACCCAAGAAGATGAGAAATTGCTCCAGGCAGCAGCAAAGTACGAAGCTGAATGTACATCAAAGTTTCCAAGCCGCCAATGCCTCACAACTGTAATTGACCTCAATGGGAAAACAGTTTTTATTACCAGATACATCAAACCTCTGAATCCACCACAGGAGCTTCTTGATGCCGTCCCAAATAGTTCTCAAACAGCAGCAGTAAGTACTTAGAAAAGATAGTGAAGCTTCTGGGACATAGGTTTCAGAATGCATGTACACATGCGTGCATGCACATAGGCACATAATATTTTTTATGTTTGCCCTATAGTTATGCTTTTTGTAACAAAAAAACCCCAGAGGTACAAAATAAAGTAGTAATGAGTATGTGTAATATGCAGTACATCTGTCCATACTGATGCTGGAAAAGAGTATTTGTCTTCTCTGGAGAAAAATTGATATATTAATGAGTATTGTCCTTTAAAAGACAAAGAATTATGCCAAACCTCAATAGGAATAAATCATATCAGTCTTTGATATAAGTTCTAAAATGAGCTAGCTGCTACTGTAATGAGGTTAGTCAGTGTTTTGTCACTGATACCTGTGGAAACAGCACTGTGCTTCATATCTGGTATAGAATCATAGAACAGAATGGAAGGCATCACTTGCTCTGTTTTGTTTTCTTGCAGGAGTTGGTGGCTCGATATGTTGCTTTGATTCCTTTTTTGCCAGATAGTGTGTCGTTTGCTGGGATTTGTGATTTATGGAGTACATCAGATGTAAGCAATGCATTAAACAGAAGTTCCTTATCCTCTTGAATGTGATGGAACATCCTAGCAGCCCCTGCTTTTGGGGGGAGATTGTACTAGATAAGCTCTTGAGGTCCCTTCAGACCTGAATTGTTCTGTGATTCTGTTATCGTGAGGACTGTTTTTCTTTATGAGCAGTTTATTTCAAAACGAGGACCAAAGCTTGAGAAAAGTTGCTCATCCTGATACAAGCTAAAATTTTTCTCTTTGATAGATTGCAATTGATTGAACCAAAGAACGCTTAGGGCTTTAAGCTTTTCCTGATTTTTTTCAGTTAGAGAACAATCCAAAATGGCTAGTCATGCACAAGTGAAAGGATGCTGACTGATGGAGACTTTAAAACTACACTTAAATCTGATCACTGTAGTTCCAAGGAACTACGGAAAAAAACCATTGCATGTAATGTCAGCAATAATGGGATATTTAGCCTTTTCTGTCACATACAAATAAATCCTGTCATCTATGGAATAATAGCAGACATGAAGTTAATCAGATAATGTTTTTACCATCTCAGAACTATTCTGCAAAACTCAAAAGACGAAGAGTCTGGTTCTTATGGTAAAATCTCAGATCTGCATCATGGATTTTCACAGAATTCACTCTTCATCCTGCATGGTGAAGCAGTGCTCAATAAACAATAAAGATCAGTTGCAAAGATCTGAGAGGACTCCTTTGCTTCAGAAGTGTTAGGAAATACTATTAAATGTTGTAACCTGAAAACACAGTTGATAACTGCATAGAAAGACTTTTTTTTAATTTTTGTACCTCAATTAGCAATTTCTTTATCTTCTGGCGGGAGATGAGGAAGAACACGCCGTGCTCTTGTGTAATTATTTTCTTGGTATGGGGAAAAAAGCCTGGCTTATCATTGGAAATGCTATTCCTGAGGTAAGAGGATTTTTTCATTTGGTCTGGATATTAACTTTTATTCTGTGAAGTCTTTGGTTCCCACCAATGGATAGAATTGTTTCTTGCTGGCATGTTTTTCCAGGAAGTTGGCTAAACATTGGTGCTGCTGAACTGATTCTTTTCAGAGAGGAAAAAAAAATATTGAAAGTATATCTTAGTATAAATATCGTCCTTTTTTTTTTTTTTTCCCTGGACCCATGTTTCCGTGCTTAATCTGGTAGTAGCTGTTGTCCTCATAGCACACTACCAAGCGTCTGTAAACCTTGGTTGGACTTTGGCTTGTATGAATGGTGTGTCCAGGACAAAGGTAATGGAGAGAGTCCATTCACAGCCTTGCAGTCGTGAATGCACAGACTGACGCTTTGGGTGGGATTGGGTAAAGGTTGAGGGGTGGCAGGAGAGGGTTAGGGGCTTACCAGGGATTCTTAATGGTATGTACATGTCCCTTGATTCTCTCTCCAACTGATGGCAAAGCTGCAGCGAGTGCAGTGCTGGATCTGTTAGGCTCGACCAGTCAGTCTTCATCTGCCCTCTGTCTTACAGCAGGTTAGGCAGTCTGCTTTGCCTTGGGCTGCTGTGTACCCTGTCATTGCTGCGAGCCCGCTGTGGCAGCAGTCTGGCTAAGAACTAAAACATTTAGATTCTTTTGCCCCTTAGGAGATGCATTTTTTCTCAGGGAACCACTCAGATTTCCAAGTAACAAATACTTTTCAAAGAGGTGGTAAGGCTGTTCACAATGCAGGTTTCCACCATTAGTATCTCAAATTGCCAAGCACAATGAAAGTTTTGCTGAACAGAATTCTGGTAAAAATCCCTCTCAGGACTAGTTTCTTGAGCGCATTCTCGGATACTGCAGCGGCAGGAACAGGTACCTGGGTACGTTCCTTCTATTCCAAATCTGATGCAGATGGTATTTTAAAGGCATTATAATGGCTTAAAAGCATTCAGCTTATGCGTGCTGTAGGGAAGCAGATTATTCCAGGTATTTCAAGGTACCTGGAAAATGTGGGAGATGACAAGAAAACAGCAGAACAGTTTAGAGATTCCTGAGAGAATATAAAAAGATAGCTGGGAAGTTCCTTCCGTGCCTGCATGAGGGAAGGCTGATGGATGAGACACAAAGTGTGCTGCCCAGGCAGCAGTCCTTCAACTCAAGAGAGTGCCAGTGGATGAGAGGTTGCGGCAGTAGCCACGTAGGATGTGCTGATACTGAAGGGGCACATATTAAACATGTCACATCAGTTCAGAGCTGAACCAAGGCAACTTTCAGAATCTGTATTTTAAGAATGGCTCAGGGCTGTGTATGTCTAACATTTCTCTGATACCCAAGAGACACACTTGTTAGTTGGTTGAATTGTAATGAACCTGTAAATCTTCCAACCAGCTTGCCCTAAAAAGTTCTATTAATCGTAATAGTCAAAATGTAATATTCCAAACAGTACAAGCATACTGTCATTGTAGCCAATCTTAAAACATGTTTTTCATACTTTTTTTTTTCCCCCCCTAGGGACCAACTGCATATGTATTAACTTTGGAACAAAGTCAGTATGTAATTTGGAATCCCAGTACTGGATGTTTTTATGGGCAGTACGATACTTTCTGCCCCTTACAAAATGTGTATTGTCTGATCAGCTGTGACAATGTAAGTGTACCCAGTTGTGTCACATTTCTCTACACATAAGAGTTGATAACTTGATATTTTTCTTGACCTTATGCATCATTTGTTCATCAATGTAACTATATTTATGCTGTCATGTTATTAGTGATTTTATTCAATCTTAAGTAGGTTTTTCAGCTACTTTAAATACTTAAGATTCTCTTTTTTAATCAGCATTTAGGTGGTTTCCTGCTGCTTAGGTGAGGAGTAGTAATTCAGCAAAGCTAAAAGTTTGCAAGGGAAATGTAACTGAAAAATGACAAATAAAGCCTCCTCGAAGGAGCCACTTGAATTACACACGTAATGGTGAGCACAGCCCTGAAACGCTCTGTGTACAAAACACAGAGCTGGCACTACAAGGCATAACAACTGCATTGATTTTCTGCCTGGCATCAAGTCCTCCTGTTTATTTGCTGTAAAATGCAGTATTAGTATTAGTGCTTGTTCACAATGTATTATTATTCATTGTATGGCTGGAAACCCTCTCGGAGGTAGCAGGGAGACCTCAGAAGAGTAGGAGAGGACCTCAGAAGAGCTGCACAGCTCAGGGCAGGTGAACCAAAGGCCACAGCATGGGGCAGAGCTGAGCCTGTGTGGGGAGAGACAGACACCCTGGGCATTCCCTGACTTGGCTGGAGGCCAACCCTCACAGCTTCTGGGGACAGAAATGGGCACATGAAACCAAGGAAACAGAAGGTGAATTTAAAAAAAAAACCCTAAGTTTTTATTTGAATAAAAACTAGAGGTTTAGTTTAAAGGTTTGTGCCTCAGTTTTTTGGAACCACTCTAAGGAAACAGTGAGTCAGGCTTCTGTTGTGCCCTAAAATATAGCAAACATTTGCTTTCATTTTCTGTATGGAAAACATACCTGGAGAAGTCCTTTGAAGTGTCATGCACTGGAAGTTTTGTTTTGTTTTTTTTAATCTTCTGGGATTTTATTCTAAACACAAATCATGATTTTGGATGTGAATTTAATATTCTAAAACATTTATATTAAAAACAGTCAGTTCTGTCTTTCATTGAAAGTGTTCTGGGGAGTGGCTGAATTGGTTTGGGATTGGGTTGGTTTTTTTTAATGTAGTACTAAACCTACAGTTGAGAAAAATGTAACTTAATTGTTTAATGCTGGAAGAAGCAACTAACTCCAAGAAGCAACTGAACTACAGAGCTCAACAGCTTATTTCAAGGCAACCAATTCCAGTCTACATGTAACTCTGGGCAGGTGTGCTGCCAGCAGAGTGATACCACTTCATCTTCAACAGGGGAAGAAACAGCTAGGCTGTGTCATATAGGCTGTCCACAGCAATGCCAAGTTACATACTAATGAGTACATTTACATATTAATTGTTGATATATTCTGCAGCCATAGCAGTAGTTATTTAAAGGTTGTTTTGAGCAAGAAGCCTACAGTGCTTGCATGTGTCAGACTGGGCTGAAACACAGACCAAACTGTATTTCTATAAAGTGCAAGACAGGTTGCCCTTGATGGCAGAATACACACAGGAGCTGCGTGTGTATCTACTTATATTCTGCATCATAAGCTTGAAACAGCAATGGTGCTGGGGTGCAGCAGGCAGCCGGGCGTCACAGCCACAGCTTTACTGTGCTGCGCTCTTGGAAGAACCTCATCAGAATTCAGAAAAGACGTGTGTAGTAATCTGGACAGGTGGAAATGCATCTCAAGACAGCAAAGAAACTGTAGTATCCTGTAACCCAGCACCACGTGATGCTGAAGTGATGGCCAAGGCAGAAAGTTTCTGAAAGTGTAAAACCTGCCACAGGGCACAGTGGTTGAGGTATCAAAAAGGAATACTGGAGAAAACAAAGAAAGATTCAGCCGGAACAGTTGCCAACAGACACTGGTCTCAATCCATACTCAGAAGCACAATTTATGACAGACCAGCACAATCCCTTTTGATGCAAGAATGCAAAAGTTGCACATCGGTTACGAGATGCCTTGTGTTACGTGAACTGATACTGGTAATTGCTGTAGGAGGTCAAGACTGTTTAGTATTTTATTGCCATGGAAGTAGAATGTGTTCCATAGCTCTGATTATATGCTGAAAGTGAAAAACTTGCTTTCTTGTAGATTTGGTTTAATATGCAAGCATATGATGCCCCAGGAAGGATAAGTTTTGATATCAGCAAACCAAAATTTTGGAAGTCTTTCTTTTCAAGAAGCTTGCCCTACCCTGGTCTCCACAGCATTCAGGTATTAATGCATCTATTACCAACTTCATTGGAGGAGTTGAGAGATCACAGACTTAGTATGAAGAAACACACTGAGTTCCTTGGACTTCTGTGGTTAAATATACTTATGTCATAGCACTGGCTTTTAAAAAAGATTTTCCCAGGCACTCCTTAAAAAAAAAAAAAAAAAAAAAAAAAGCAGGAATACAGCAAAGTATTTGGTTTTCTACAGAATTAATCTGTTGTCCTCCACATATCTATGTAAGACCTCAGGACAACAGTGAAGTAAACAGGACAAATCTTGATAACACACCTTATCTAAAGAAGTAGCTTTGTGTTACCAAAAAAAGCCAACTTCTGTCTCCCAGCTAGGAAGGCATTATTTCAAGCTGTACCCATTTTCTTAGTAAACAAACAGGAATTTTTCTAGTTTATCAAAGATTAAGCAGTTAAAGTGTACTAGGAAAAAGGAAAAAAAACCCAACAGCATTGCACACAAACATGTCGATGTTTTTATTATGTCTCTACTAAATAACAGATTGTATTATCACAATTGTGAATGCACAAGTACCATCAAGTACATTGCTGTACAGCTAGAAAAGACTGCACTTTTTAATATTTGATCTTATTTATTGCTAGCCTGAAGAACTAGTTTATCAGCATTCAGACAAGGCTGCTGCAGCGGAACTACAGGGCAGGTAACTACCTCCAAAACAAATATTGTCAGTGCCGATCACTAGGGGTGGAGCATCTGCTTACATTCCTCAAGCATATTCACACCTGCTTTGAATGCTGGGAATTGAGAATGGCCTAAAAAAATCGTAAGTTGAAGTTCACAGGGCTTTTTAAAATTCTGTCTCTTTAATGGAGATTACCAGAGAGAAAGAACTGATCAAGCACTGCTGTACCATTTCCTAATAAGCAAAATGGTGTAGCCTGATGAGGAGAGGGTTTACACCCTGGCCTCCTATTCTGTTACTGAATGTGCAGGCACCATATCACCATGATGATACCGCTTTTCTCTGCTTTTGGGTAGCAGTAAATTTAACTGAGGTCATTTGTGTTCCCCAGAACCTGTACTAAATGCGTCAAGGGAGAACATTACAGGTGGCCAGTAAATACTAGAATTGTAATAATCGGTATATTTTATTGCAGGATTGAAAAAATATTGAAGGGTAAGATCATGGAATGGAGACCAAGGCATCTAACTCGTTGGAACAGATACTGTACCTCTACCCTACGTAACTTTCTGCCATTGCTGGAACAAAACCAAGGCAAAGATGTAGAAGATGACCATCAGGCAGAGCTGCAAAAACAGCTAGGAGATTACAGGGTACAGCTGTGAACATACAGGGTTTGTGCATGGAAGTAGGAATCTAAAGGCCTAGGATTTAGTACCGCTACTCTGTGCTATAGAAGAGTGTCCCAGGCTATTTATTTCCTCTACTACCAAAAAAAAAAAAAAAAAAAAAAAATCACAATAGCTTTTATACCAAAGATAAACCAATGTAATATTTACAGAGTAAAGGAGTGGTGATCTATTTTATTTCATTTGTAGATGCTGAAGATAAAAAAACCCAAAACAAACACTTTCTGTTGAACAAAGAATTCTGCATTCCTCCCTTAGGCTGGTCTAAAGGTTACGTCCTTCTGCGTTCATGTGAAACACAGATGGTAGCAGCACTGTACACAGCTATGGCAATTGTCAGAATGAGTTGAGGTTTCAGTTCCTGTTGGACCTGAAATGTTACAGGCAGGAGATGTTTGCCACCTCAAATCCCCAGCCAGTGCAAGACAGGAGAACACAATGAATTAAAACTAGCCAGGAGGCAGAAAAGCAGCAAAAGTATGCTGTGTTTTCATTAATAAAACTTTATTCTAGCAGATTTCTAGACTTCTTCACTTTGAACGTAACCCAGAGTAAAGAGGAAAAATGGCAGGAGCCTGCCTGGAGTGTATGGAATAAGGAAGTGGTATTAAATACAAAATGGGCTTTTAAAATTGTTTTTCCTCAGGCCAGCAATAGAAAAGAAATGTACATGCACAGTAAAACACATTTTTTTCAAATTATTTATTTGAGTGCCTTTACCTTTTCTTCTTACCTTACATGTTTTTTTCTTCTCTCTTCCTCCTAGGTCTCCGGATTTCCTATTCATATGCCATTTTCTGAAGTCAGACCTTTAATAGAAGCTGTACACAGCACAGGAGTTCATACCATTGATGTTCCCAATGTTGAATTTGCTCTAGCTGTGTATATTCATGCTTATCCCCAAAATGTCCTGTCTGTATGGATTTATGTTGCTTCACTTGTACGAAATAGATAGTAAAGACCAGTCAGAATACCTCAAGAAATTTGCTTGTGGAAGGGTAAATATAACAGATTTCTCACAGTGATTGCTGATTTGAGCTATCCTAAGTACTTCAAAAATCAAGTGAGAACCTGATTTTGAATAGCTGCAGACACATGAGCTTTATTCACCCTACAACCATTGAAGATACAGCTAAGGAAGAGACCAACAGCTTGAAATTCCAGTAATAATGGGTGATTTTTATACAGTATTTTATAGCTCCTAGTGAGACATCACACTCTTGAAAGCATTACACATGCCTACATACAGGGACTCTGCAGAGCAGAATGGTAAGAGTTTGGCCTCCTTATTTTCAGGTGAAGCTCAGTTCCTGGAATCAAGCCTTGAAGACTGTGTTTTTAGCTAGTCAGTTATCTACAGACCTTCCTCCTCTTCAAAGACACTGACAAATACAAATAGTTACAGTTTTGCAGCACCTGAGTTCCTGAAGGAAGACCAGGACTGCTTACACGAGTAGACCATGAGTAAGTGTCATGCACCAAAGAGCCACGATTGAAGGCCATGCATTTTTAAAGAGGCTGCTGCTTCTGCTACTTCATACTGTGCCTGTATAATGCCCACACCATTCAGAGGTGTCAGACAACATTTTCTCTAAAAGTTAAAGACAAAGTATAATAAATATTTGTACCAAAACCTAATTGGAAGCTCATTTATTTTATACAAAAATTTGATTAAATTACTTTGGGGTTTGAGATCCTTATGTGCAAGTCACCCTAGTAAACGATTATCAAAGGCTTACTAAAAATAAAATGTGCTTATTGGTGTGTAAGTAGTGTTAACTGTTAATGCCGATATAAATATATATCCTTTTCCTGCAGTTAACTTACTAAACTCTTCCAAACAAAAATGATGGTGGGTTCAGCTAGGACAGATGTTCATCAGAACATACTGCTGTTAAGATTGTTCTTGAGCTTAATTCGAAAATAGACTCAAGTCCATCTGCTCAATACTCAACACAATCTTTGTTTTAGAGCCTGTGGTTAGCACCACAGGTTCCCTCTATAAACCTCCAGCAGAGGGGATCAGCTACACTGTCCTCTCATGATGCTTTGCTGAGGAACACTAATGACATCTCCTAAATTTAGTCAGCTCCCCTTCAGAGAAGAGTGAAAAAACATGATGTAAGTGAACAGAACTCTCCGCAGCCGATTCAGCTGTCTGCTGTGTCTCTACCGATCTGCACAGAAACCACCACCTAGCAGTGAGGAGGAGGACCTCTAGCTGCACCTTCCCAGCCTCAGAAACAAGGAGTTCCTGAAGTACAGATGGAAGGAGGCCCAGCATGTACCTCATTACTCTCATTTTGCCTCAGTCAGCATTGCACAAGTGGCCATGTATCTACTCTAACCTTTGGGCACCAAAGTCAATTTAATGTAGGTTATGTGAAGCAACAGTTGCTGGAATAATGGAGCCCTTTCTGTAGGCTCCAACTGAGTGCTGTGCACTCTGCCTCTAGCCCATGTTCAGCTGTGAACCCCCAACAGCCAACTCTGCACCAGCTCTACACCCACCAGTGTTTTTCTTACCTTACTGCTCTTCAGTATTAAGGAGAGCAAGGTGGTGTCAAAACTTGCAGTTTATTGTGATCTCCAGCTCTGCCTGCGAGCTGATTTCCCAGTTACCCAGAATCTTAAAGCTACATATGCCACCATGATTGCCATCCTAAATAAATGCTAGTCAAAAGAACTACTCAATTAGTAAAACAGGTAAAAATTACTAGTCTGACACTGTCGGCCTTCACTACTAGGCAGGATGGGGGAAAACCTGTCTGCCTTCTGCAAAGGCTGCCAGCTACCCCTCCTCTGCCCAAGAGGAAAACCACCTCCAGCTGTGCCACTCACAAGCAGGTGGCCATTCCAGCTGCCAACTTAACACAGGCTACAGCAGTCAGCCTTGCAGTGGGCTCTTCCCCACGCCACCCCACACACACTCACACACAACTCGTCCATTGCTCCTCTCTCTTCCTAACGCAGCTATCACTCAGCCCAACAATGGATTCTCTGCCTCCCTGCTACTTCCTACTGCGCAATGAGGGATCTTTTTGAAAATCCAAGCAATGGGGAAAAGGTATTGTCATCTTCCATAGATTTCATATGAATGAAAACTGATTTCCTTGAAAGCTGTTTCAAAAGTGCATCTTAACACAGTCCTGGGAAGGAAAAACAAAAAGAAACAACAAAAACCCAACACACACTGCAAGGTTCACAGCACTGCAACCACTACAACAGCCACCCAGTCTCTGCAGCCTATTGGCACTGAATGTCTGGATATTACACCTTAAAAACATACATATTCAACTGCTAGGTGAAATTTTTGTTGGTGGGAATGTTTTATTTGAGTATGTCTTTCAAGCCCAAATACAAAACCAAATGCAAAAGGAAGGTGGGAATTTCCCTAGTTTTGCAATATAAAGAACGACTTCAGGATGAGAGGAAAGGGGAAGAAACAAGGCTCCTAAAGGTGTGTAATTGTTACCCAAATGCAAACAATACATTTCAAATTCTCTGCAGAGCTTTATATTGTACGCACGGATTCAAAATAAAAACCATTCACTTAACACAAAATAATCCAGTATATTTAAGTGCCAAACTTGGAAGAAAGTGGCATTAAAAAAAAAAAATCTGAATGTTTTCCCATCTTCCCCAAATTAAGCAAAACAAAACCCAACACCCTTCAAACCAAATGAGATCTTGTGAGATTGTTACAACACTGTACAGTACACTCATAATTAAGATTTGGAAGTTGTGGGCAGGGTCAGCCTAGTATAACAAATCTCACTCCAAGGATTGTTAACACAAGATGCGAACTGTAAGTAAAGTGCATGAGAGGAAGCCTGCTCAGGTAAATGAAGTAGACTGAAAGATCAGAAGTCAGCGGTCATTCGCCAGAGCGGCAGCAGGCCCGAAAACCACACTGCAAATTCTGGCATCCACTGGCGGTTTCAGCATGAGGACCTGCACAAAAACAGAACAAATGTGAAAAGAAGAAAAGGCCATTTGTTTAGATTTAGAATTCTTGTAACCTGGTAATTCAGAAAATGTCTTTTTTTTTTATGTAATACACTAAACTTCATTCAGCACTGTGAAGTCTGAAACACTGCCAGTGCTATCTCAGTATTAAAATCTCTGTTGTAACAGTTACTTTTCAAGGTATTTTTGCTCTGATAGCTTAGTCCCATGAAGATAACACATTCAAAGCGACACAGGTGTACAGTGAGCAACACTAAACAAGTTCAAGCAAGCTCTCACAGCTAGCTTTCAGAAGTGACGTGTATTTTCACAATGCATATTTAACTCCCATTTTTCAACTTCAGATGATGATTTCATGGCATTACCAAAGAAACCACAATCTCCAAAACTATTTCTACTACAATGGAAACAGTTTTTAAGTCTAGAAGGTTTTTTCCTCCATGAACAGTTCATGGTTGGCTGGACCTCACATACAGTGACTGGCAATGCAAAAACTAGGGAGAAAAATCACCTTCAGTATCACTGCAGTTATCAGAAGCCATAAGGCTAGAAGTGTGCGAGCACAGACAGTATAAACCAACACTGTAATTCTACCCACCTTCACTTACCTTTGCTTACTGTTAGCCCTTTAATTTGACATGTTAAAGTGATAATGAGGTAAGAAACTATTACATTTATTACTACAGGATTTTATTTCCTGCAGCCATATGCCTGCTTTAGAGACACAAACATTTACATTCATGTTGGCTGAACTCTGGCATCCAACATAAATTGGAAGCAGGTTACCGAGTTAACTAAAATAACCTGGTAAAGACCTGACCAGGACAACCCACATTTCTCCCCTTTGTATCTGAGACACAGCAAAGAATATTTAAGGTGTTTTTAATACATTTAGAAAGGACTAGCAAACTAATGTAAGGAACTAGGGCAGCACGCTATGTCTGGCTTGTTTTTTCCCCTTGAACAATAACTTAAAGTCGTAATTCAATTAATTTCCAAGAGCCTGGTATCTGGAAATTAGCTTTCTGCTTCATGCCACACACCAATGAGCAATACTCTACAAGGTAATGAAGTTAACATGCATGAGACTGAATAAAGCAAACCTGAAACCATAACGAAGGACAATGGTTACAGTATGCAAAATAGTGAACTTTTCATGTCAATAAACTAATTTTCCTTTTCAAATCTTTTCAGTCACCTGAACTACATTTTGATCCTCTAATTCACTTACGAGCTAGAGTTTGAAAACTTCTTCATAAGTCCTTTAAAAAGGAGACTCGGCAGTTCTGAACGGCTGTTTCAGCAGAGCATGTTGTGTGCAGCAGCGGTTTCCAAGCCGTAGCTGACCCTCCTCATCACTGCCACGCTGAGCAGCACACCAGTAATTCTGAAGGGATTGTCAACATTTCTAGTAAAATGCTTGTTGACAAAACATACAGAACCACAACATCCCAAGGAAGGAAATACTCGGTATACAATATTGCTTCCCATCCTTTTCTTGCTCATTTTAAGAACGTTCTTCCTCATGCTCAAAACTGAACATAAAAACTGCTCTCCTAGGTCTGACCAATGGTCCAACTAACCCTACCTTCATCACTGGCAACAGCAAGCATTATCTACAGAAACCATGTAAGCCTATCGTGCACACCTTTTGTATCTCCCCAGCATCCCTAACTGTTGTAGCAGGACCATTAAAGTCCATGCCCTTAAGTATTTGTTTATGGCTCAGTTGTGCAAGTATTTGTTTAACCTCTTTTTAAACCTGCTGACACTAACTGCTTCCACAATTCCCCACAGGGCCAAGTTCCAGAAGTTCACTACATCATATCTGATTTAATCAATCACTTACCCATGTCACCTTCTGTTGCCAGGCTCTAATACTGCAGAATTTGGGGAGTTACTGTTGCACATTCACCTCATCTAAGCTTTCCCTGTTCTGTAAAGTCATCCCCCTTTCCACTTTTTATTCCCAGACTGAAACATTCCAGCCTTTTGAGTATCTCCTTGTAAGGCAGCTGCTCAATTCCCTAACTCTAGTAGACCTCTTCTGTAACTCCATTACATACACTCCTCAAGATGGGGAGATCAAAACCGCATGCAGTACCCCAAATGTGACTGCCCCAAGGCTTCCAGGACCAT